ACTGGAATAAAGTAAATGTTAATTCTTTTCTTTATTGGCGCAGTAACCGCCTAAGCGATTTTGGCCGTAAATGTTGATTAGGCAATTTTAAATTAGGCAATTTGTTATTGTTTAAGTTGGCAATTTATTTATATAAAATATGATACTAAGCTATTGTTGTCAATTAATTGGTAGTGAGTTGGTTGAACTGTTGGAATGGGTAGTTCCAGGGTGGTGGTGATTAATTGCCATCGCTGATGGAGATTTCCACAGAACCCTTGACCCTCAGGTTCTGGGAGAGATTTTAGAAGTTCACCGACGATTAAGTGCCCTGGCGTTCGAGCTTCGAGGTCGACTGCAGTTGTCGTGCCCTCACATAACTTGCGGGAGTTCACGCAGGCATCCACTTCTGTCAGTAACGTATTGAATTCCTCGTACAACAGCAGAGTTTCGCCCAAAAGGCGTTTTAGATGGTACTTGATACGCTTGATACCGGTTTCCCAGTATCCACCCATATTAGGCGCGGTCGGTGGATTGAAACGCCACTCTATGTTGGAATCGGCCAAAAATTATTGAAGAGTGACGTTTGCCATGCACTTTTCATTTCCGCTGCGAAATTCCTTCTCGGCGCCGACGAAATTCGAATAATGATCGGAGAACATAGTCTTGCAATAACCGATTGATGAATAGTTTGAACGCGTTGAGAAACGAAGACCCCGATAAGTCTCCTACGAATTCTAGGTGCATTGCGCCAGTACACATGCAAATAAACGGGCAAATGTAGCCTTTCGCAGATTGCGCCCTCTGATGCGCATTTTGGGTTAGGTATCTAAAATGTGCACTTAAGCATAAACGCAGCAAAGCAAAATATACAGTATAATTGTTTTATTACAGGGGACTCTGTACCAAATTCACAAACTGAAACTTACTAAAATTAAAATTATATCACAAAACACTTCACACTTCACAAAAATTACTTGAACCTCTATTTGCATGAAGAAAAAGTGAGTGTTCAAGCAGGTTGAATGCTTGTAGGCCATAAATGTAGCTTCGATTGGTCACTCCGCTGCACATTAAGTCAAATAATTCATTTGGCTGTGCGAAAGCCCAATTTCGTAAAGGCAGTTTTACATTATTTTTTGTTGCCATTCTGTAGGGAATACACCAAAATAACAGAAACTTCACTTTGTTTTTGTAAAATAAAAAACACCGTTAGACAGCAATAAACCAAAGTTACACTTTCAAAACGTTATTGACACGTTGTTTCAGCAACCGGTTTGTTTTTTAAGTTTCAAGTGCGTTTTTTTGTAGAGTTCAGATAATTAAAGCAAAATTTTAATGGAAAACAAAATTATAAGTGAAAACCTACGGCCCAATAAAAAAGTGGTTTTTTATCATTTCTTTACAAAAAAACTGCGTTATTTGGAAATGGAAATGGATAAATTAAGATGTAAAGAGTTGATTTTATTTTACTTAGCCCGCCGTTTTTAGCCGTTTTCAAGAAAAACGTTTTCTTTCTGGGCTATCGTGCTATTACAAAAGGCGACTTGCTTGAAGTTTGCCCGATTGGATGTTAAAAAAAAAAGTTTTTTTCGGTTGTCAACCATGTTGAAAAAGATATGGTGCTGCTGATATTTGCGAAAGTTCCATGAAACTCTTAGGAGAAAAAACGCGTCTTTTTTTTATTAGGGAAAACAATTTGGAAATGATGCTAGAATGCGTTTCTTGCTGATGAAAATCTTTTTGAAAAATAAAAGCCAACTGTGTCGACCAGCAGCCGGATTCTAACTTTCGCTATCGCTATAATGCTAAAATACGAAAGCTAACATTTTTCCGAATTTTTAGCTATCTCCAAGAATTGCGGTTCTGTCCTCCCTTTCGCTAAAAATAGCTTAGCCTAAATTTTTTGGTGATAAATAGTAAATTTTAATGGTGATAAATAATGAAAATGGAAGTATGTGATAGCAAAAAAATAGCAAAATAGACACTTGCGCCTTCGCAAAAAGGCAAATCCTTGAGAGAATTTACGGATTGAAATTTCGAAACTTTTTACTCAAAGTGAATAGAGCTTTGAACATTCTTACCACAAATTGGTTTCAAAAACATTCGTATTCTTTTCAGGAAGTTACCAGCGATTTTTGGTAAATATGTCACAAAGCAGCATATGCATTCTGAATATAAATAATATCGGTGGAGAATTTGGAAATACTGAAACCTCAAGTGAAAATGAAGTGTTTTATGAAGACTAACTGCTTAAGGAATCTCTCCTGGAGGCATATCTGCGGGACATGTGGTAAATATTTTTCTTTTTTAATTTAGGCATTTCAGTAATGCCATAATTAATCGCTAAAATGGTTTCTTTTATGCACATGTGCCCATACTTATTTTATTATGTAGCTCATTTTAAGGGGGAGGGGGTTGAGTATGGTAAGAAAATAACTTGTGTCAAAACCAAACTAATTTGACAATGTTTTTGAGTACTACCTAAACACATATACTCATCATTGAACATACAAAAAAGCAGAAAAGTCTGTTTTACGAAGCCAAGTCATGTTTTCACCTTTTATTTACTGCCTTTACACTTTTTAACGTTTACCATCTTTTTACATTAAAATAATGCAATATTTTAGCTGCTATTAATTTCGCACAGAAAAGGTTATCATTTGACCCAATGTGTACTGTGATTGGTCACTCCGCTGTGAATCAAGTTAGATACCTGTAATTTAACTTTATTTCACGAGTTGATCCCGATCGCCCATCCCCAAATAAAATCCTGTATCCGCCGCTAGCCCAAAAGTCCATAGTTTGCTAATATTTTTTTCTTTTTATTTCAAAACTTATAATCGGTGCGGTCCGTGCTTAAAGTTTTAATTGATACATATTTACGTTTCGAGTTCTGTATACACGCATGCTGTAAAATATTAGTACAGACTTAAATGTTTTATCATCCTAACGATGTAAATCTTTCTTGCTTTTCCAGAATACACCTCCTGATTATCTCTTTTAAAGAAATTTTCATTCGTCTGTATATATGTATGTACGTGAGTGTTATCGTTTATGTGCCATTACAAAAGTCTTCCAATGACAAATAGGATAAAACTAACCAACTCCACCTAAATTAGATTAAATTATCAACTTGTACTTACTAAATATGTGTGCCAAAGAAGTTGAAATTTTTAACGAGAACTGCGTTTAAGCGACCACTTTTTATAAGGTGTTCCAAATAAGATTATACTCCTTTGGATAATTCATTCAATATGAGGTGGTTGATTGTATCAAGAATTTGTAGCTTAATCCGCGAGCATAAATTTCGAAAGGTCTTTTACGTTTTACTAATACTAAGTGTAGATATACAGAACCAGTTTTTATGCAGTTCAGATCGAAAAATAATGGCTACGTCCTCATTGCTTAGTGTGACAGAAGCACCAATAACCGCTAATGAATTGCAGCCTAAAGAACCTAAAAATACTCATTCCTTTGAGTTCGTACCTGCAACATCCATGGGCGAAAGCCAACGCATAAAACACAGCGCTGGTAGGGGCAATCGCTCGGAGAGGATCCCCAGCGGTTCTGGAAAAAATGTGAATAGTACATCGTATCCAATAGAATTTTCAACTGTCACAACAACTGCCAAGCATACATCACAAGAAATGGTCTCAGTCAATTTGCCTGGTGATATCATAATGGGAGGTCTTTTCCCCGTACACGAGAAAGGCGATGGTACACCGTGTGGCCCGAAAATTTACAACCGTGGCGTACATCGCCTTGAAGCAATGCTCTATGCCGTCGACCGTGTAAACAGTGACAAGAGCCTGTTGCCTGACATTACGATAGGCGTTCATATACTTGATACCTGTTCCAGAGACACTTACGCACTGAATCAATCGCTGCAGTTTGTGCGCTCGTCTTTGAACAATCTGGATACTTCGGCGTTTGAGTGTTCCGATGATTCTGTGCCTCGCTTGCGCAAGAATGCCTCTTCTGGTCCTGTGTTTGGCGTGATCGGTGGTTCTTACAGTTCTGTTTCTTTGCAAGTAGCCAATCTCCTTAGACTGTTTCACATTCCGCAGATTTCTCCCGCGTCTACCGCCAAGACTCTATCAGATAAGACCCGTTTTGATTTATTTGCGCGCACAGTTCCACCGGATACGTTTCAGTCTGTAGCGCTAGTGGATATCATTAAGTGTTTCAACTGGTCCTACATCTCCACCATACACTCAGAGGGTTCTTATGGAGAATATGGAATTGAGGCATTTCACAAAGAGGCTACCGAACGTAATGTTTGTATAGCAGCTGCCGAGAAAGTGCCCAGTGCAGCTGACGACAAAATATTCGATGCTATCATTGCGAAGTTACAAAAAAAACCTAGTGCGCGGGGTGTAGTACTATTTACGAGGGCGGAGGATGCCCGCAGTATCCTATTAGCAGCTAAAAGGGCTAACTTGGCACATCCTTTTCATTGGATTGCGAGCGATGGTTGGGGAAAACAGCAGAAGCTACTGGATGGATTGGAAGGCATTGCAGAGGGCGCTATAACAGTGGAGCTGCAATCTGAAATTATTGAGGATTTCGATAAATATATGATGCAATTAACACCACAAACTAACAAGAGAAATCCCTGGTTCGAAGAATATTGGGAAGATACCTTTGATTGTGTTCTACCGAAGAATTTTGTTCAATCTGATGTACAACGGCACAGGAACGGAACAGTTTCGCAACAAAAGTTTTTCACTTCAAACGACAGCGGCACATTTCCACTACGGGGGAGCACAGCAGCAAGCATTGCAGGCGGTCGTATTTGCGATGAAAGACTTCGCCTTTCGGAGAAAGTTGGGTAAGTACGCAAATTAAGTGTAAGCCCAGTCACAGTTTTTAGGTAAGACAAGCTACATACTCTGATATACAAAAGAGAACGAATTTATGCCTGTAGTATTGGCAAGAAAAGTCAGTCTCGCTGAAGTAAAGTTCTTGCCCGACAATAGCTGAATGGACAACCGAGATCAGTAATCTACATATAAGACAGAGTAGTTTGACTTCTTCTTTCGATGTTAATAAGTTACAAAAATTATCAGGCAATGAAACTCGTACTGATTTCTCATCGACCGGCAGCTTTCCGTTCCAATGTACAGACCTCGGCTGATCAATAGCTTTGTAGTTAAATACGCATATTCGTAGCTAACTGCAACTGAATATTTCATGCAAGCATTTATCTCGTCCGCTGGTGTCGATCGAGAAATTCCAGGCAATGTTTGCCTAAAATCTCCTGCGAGCAATTTAATGCATTCCCGAATGGTTGAGCGTTTTTACGCAAATCTCACAATGATCGATCAAGAGCCTCAAGCTATTTTTTATGTGTTATCGTGCACTCATCTGAAACAATGGGTTTACATTTTTGTAATACTTTTCCCACATGGGATGCTCTGAAAATATTGCATGTGTGAGATTCGATGATTTGTACAATGCATGTGGGAGATGTCCAATGGCAACTTCGCAGCTGAATGAGCAGCCCTTCCACGTAGTAACAATGACGCAGCTATTCTAGACGTGGGGAGAGCTAAGGCTACGTTATTTTTTGATCGAACCGTTGTCAGAATCATCCTGATAATGAATGTTTTCCCAGTTGCTCCTGGACAAATTTCGCTAAACATTCGTAGCATCTCATCTCATTCAGCAAAAAAGTTTCTGGAAAATGTATGATTAGGTATATGTACATACATTTAACTCAGGTAAACTTTTAGATATTTTAAAGTCGGCAAATGCTCAAGCAGGCAAATTCTCTTTCCTCGCAGTTATGTACGTAGTAAGCTATGGCGACCCCAATTAAATTACATATAATTAAAAGATTACTGTTTTACAAAGCTAGGGAATGGAGACAGGAATTTTAAATTTTCACCGAGGATTTTTTAAATAGCTTGTATGAGATAATTAACGTTTTCCTTACGCCTTTTATTATTTTTTTTTTCATTGTTATGGGTGTTTTTGATTAATTTTTGCCTTGCGTAATTTGTACAGGCGGTCGCAGCGGTGTAGTTGTTAGCAGTGCGCGCTACTAATCCGCAGGGCCCGGGTTCAAGACAGGTTCAACCCAACATCAAAAAATAAAAAAATAATAAAGTTTTTTTCTACCAGCGAGTGTATTTTTTCCATGAAATACAGCTTCTCATAAAAACACAATCGCCGTTCGTAGTCAGCGTAAAACTGTTGGTCCTCCCCTTAGTGTGACAACCAGTGACGTAGCTAACATGGGTAGCACTCGGAGCGGATATTCAGGTGTCACTAGGGCTGCCAACATTTTCTAAAAAAATTATAGTATCTAATTTTTCAAAAAAATCTGAAAAAATATGGTAAACTTCAAATATATATCGTATCTATTCTATATACATATTTTTAAAGGCATTTTTCTGTTACCAAACTATATCTCCTTTAGCATTTTATCGAATTTAGTGAATGATATCTCATCACATCACGTCATTCACGTTGTTCAAATCAGGGTTCGGAAATTCTCACTCACATTCTCTCACGTTCGCGATCGATAATATTCCAAATCTATATTTGCATTCTTTTATCGCGAGTGAAAAATGCAAACAAATTTATCATCTCTCACATTCGGAATGCGATCGACAAAAAAATTTCCGCTGCTTTTCATTCGCGATCGAAATAAAATTATAGTTTAAAAAACTAGAACCTCCCTATTAAAATTGCCATTCGTACTGTCATCAGGTACATATGTAACTTGAGAATAGAAATCGCTGCATCTTTTAGGCGCATCAATATTACATAGTTACATCCCGGGTTAATAAAAGGAAGGTAAAAAGCAAAGAAATTTCCTCTCACTCGAATATGAGAGGTCCGAGCATTGCCGATGTCGGCCTCTCATAAATGAGAAAAACGATGCAAGTATCCATTCGCGATCACTGACAACAGCTTATCACGATAAACTTATCGCGAAAAATTTTCAACGATGTTGTATGGGAATATTTTTCGTGTTTGTTTTGGGTATGCATTTTGTTATGCATACTGCATACAAACATATGTACATATCGTCGTTTAAAGTACTAAACCGCGTATCGTCATTCTACAAAACCGCGTAACTGGCATTGGCTGCCAAAAATTGGATTTGCTCACACAAGCTCTTGGCTCAATGCTTATCCATTCGTCCTGAAATATACTAGCCAGAAATGCGATTGCTTTATAAAAAAGAGAACCATTTTGAAATATTAGTGTTTTAACTCTCTAGAAAATAATTTATGCAACCTCGCGGTTTCGCTTAATTTGATACGCGGTTTTTCATTTTGTTGATACGCGGTTTTGTACTTTAAACGATGATATGAATTATGGTGGTAATACGTGTAGTTAAAGTATATTCCAACTCTGCAAGAAATATATCTAATTATAGGCTAACTTTAAGTTGAATAGGAAGGAGCTAAGGGTCACTTATTATCTGTATATTTTCTTTGACGAAAGCTAACTATATTTCTATGGCGATGGCCGTGAAATAGTCAAGGTGGTTTACCTCTGCATTTGATGTAACTAACTTGTAACTAACTACTTTTGGACATAAAATATCAATAGGAAAATCAAAATGTTTTATTTTATTTTTTTTTTACTCCATTTTATTACATTTCATATTTGTTTCCATATTCTGCTGTAGGTGGTCGCATATTCGAACTCCGTCAGACATAACTTCAAAATGATAATATGAAATTTCGATCTTCCTTTTATTTGTCCTCAATTCGAAAAAGTATTTGCGAAGTGCAGGATATTTAAATAGAGACGCGTTTAAAGAAAGCAATCTCCTGCATTACTTGTCAACTAGTTTCAAGTTACCTTTTTGTAGCTAACTACAAGTTATATATTTTATAGAAATCCCGCAAAAAAGCTAACTACAAGTGGGTTATTTTTCATCAATTGATACTTTTTTTCTGCAGGGAGGCGTACACTTTTCAGTATAACTGTGTATCTGCATGTTATTTTAGTATAATTATTGCGTTTATTTATTATATCTAATAAATGGAACTTAGGGGGGATAAGATTGACTAATGAGAGAAGTGGGCGTCTGGTGAAGACTGAGAGTAAAGAAAAGCAGAAAAAACTATACATATAAATTTTTTTATTTCTTCTAAATGTTTTTATTCGCCATTATAAGGACTCGCAGAATTCCATCATACGAAGGTATGTATATATGTGTATGTATATATGTGTGCATGTACTTATATAAGTGCATAGTCATTTACTGAACAGTAGCGCAGAATGAGCAAAAATTTTGCAGCAATAATCAAATAATAGCTAAGCATTGGTTTTACTACGATCTTGCAAAGACGAAACAGATTTACTTGTGAGCCTTTTAGCCAGAAGTATGTATGTAGATACAATACTGCAGCAATATTGCGGATAAGCTGTTGTGAGAGATCGCGAATGAAGCACCCGCATTGTTTATCTCATTTATGTAGGTGCGCACCAAAAACTCTTACAAAATAAAATTTTATGCAGAACGTACGTATTTACGAATCATCTGGTATTCAGGGAAATCCCAACTAAAGCACACAACTCCGGACTTAGCGAAATGCAGTTTGAAGAAAAATTCACTACCTGCACTGAGAAAAAAACGCGTTGTAAGAATAAAAAATTTTTATTTGATTACCATTGAAAAATGCTCGTATTTAAATCTAGTGAAAAGTGTTAACGAAATGGATTTTTCCATCATACATACACTACATATAATGGAAATATTCAATTCAAATACGCCTGTATTAAAATGAAGCATTTTTCACTGCACCGATGGCGTTTTGCACGTCTCGTATGCTTTTTCATATGTAATTAAGAAAGTATATGTATACAAAGCATGCACAGCGGTGACAACAGATAAACATACATACATACATGGTACATGTTTATCTGCAAATGCACTAATCGCGAGCTGTGATGTTGATTCAAACTCAACATTTGAAAACACACTTCCATGTAGTGCTGTAGCTGAGTGTGCAAAGACGCTTGATACAATTGGTTGCTTCTAAGAGGGTCCGGGTTCAATTACCATCAGACGGGAACATAAAATAAATTCTTTTTTTCTTCTTAATTATAATTTCGTATAACGAAAAAGCATCTGCGCACTTCACAACGACTTTTTTTTATAACGTACATACTCAAATTTAAAACGAGTTGGGTTGGTGCTCTTTTATATGAGTATTTTTTTAAATTTAGCACGTTTTTTTTTAATTTTAAAATTTTTTTCCCTCAGTGTGCTACAACTCTAAAATGAACGAAATCATTTGCGCTATTTCCGTAAATATTTCTAAAGCATACTAATTATTAGTGGAAAATAAACAAAAGGTAGGTAGGAAGTAGAGGTTTACGCCGACAGGCTTTGCGGCGGCGGCGTGGACAACTTCAAAAAGAAGCGCGTCTGGAAACGCCGGCGCTACTGTACATAAGGTAGATTCCAAAGATCCATGCGGCTTCTAATCTTATCATGTCATCAGATTATAATTCTATTTAATTCATTGATTGAATTAGTTTTAAATTTAAACTACGTTACTTCCTACTTGAATTCAAATGTTGAGTGTCTGCTGTTGATGGATGGGCGAACAGAAAAAAGTCTATATAGTATATACATTAGGGTGCCCATCGAAAATGATTTCAAGACCCTACCCCCTAATTTTATTCGTTTTTATGAGAAATATTATTGCCTATTTTTATAGATTTTTTAAAGGCCATTTAGAGGTCGCGACCTGTCGGACCTCTAAATGGCCTTTAAAAAATCCATAGGTCAGAAAATACGATTTTCTAGATTCATGAGTTTTTGAATTACTATTTTTGGTTGGATTTCAAAGAATT